CCCCAGGGCCCCTGACGCCCGCGGGCTCCTCTTTCCCCATCGCACCCACCTTCAGGGACGCACAATCCAACCCCATGGTCTAAGGAGCAGTTTGGGGACAGCGGAAGCGCCGGAATCTCCAGAGAAAAGATGGCGGTGTGGGCGGAGCTGCACATGCTCAGAACATACCCAGAAAAGCCCTTCCCATAGTCCTGCGCAGGTGGCCTCATTGAAGGGCGAAACTACATTTCCCAGATGGCAGAGCGAGTGGAGCAGCACATGCGTAGAAAGAACTTGGAATGGCTGTTTTGTACTCCTGTGCTGGTGACGTCATTGGAGTGCGAGACTACATTTCCCACAAGCCACTGGGGTCATCCTTTAGGTACCAAAGGAGAACGTTTTGTTTATTATCTTAGCAGGGGATACTGTCACCAGGAGACCTGGACCTGACGGATGAAGACTGGTCTCTTTCCACGTTATTACGAGGTAGAATTTTGGTTCTTTTTTTTTTTTTCTTCCTTTTTTTTGTCTTTTTTACTGACCGGTAACGGGATCGCAACCCTCGGTGTTGCGCCCGCACAGCGCTCAGCCAGTGAGCGGGAACCGGTCTCCACATGGGATCCGAACCCTCGCGCTCCCAAGCGGCGCACTCTCCAGTGTGCCACTGGGCCGGCCCAGAATTTTGATTCTTTATTAAATCTCAGTTTGACAACGTGGGGCATTGTGAGAATAACGGAGAAATTCTAATGTGGGCCAATTAAAACATGATATTAATAGTAATTTCACTTTTTTTAGTTGTCATATAGGTATTGCTATTCTAGAACCCATGTTTATTTTTGCAGATGCATTTTAGAGGAGGAAAAAATCATGCATCTATTTTCCTTTAAGTGGTTAAACAAATGAGAATTAATACGGTAGCTCTCTTCCAAGCCATTACGAAATGTTTGTTCTCATCCAGTATACTCACGGCTGGCCATGTCTCAAGCCCTGTGACAAGTCAGCTCACATCAAGACCTCTTGGAGCCTTGGTATCCTCTATGACATGAGGTCGGTGACTCTGTTCCCATGGAGGAGATTAGGAATCCAAGCTTCCCTGAGTGTGTGACCCCACCTTGTCCCACCCCAGAGAGGGGAGGCCTGCTGTGTGGGGATGGTCCATGCAGACATGCTGGAGAAGCTGCTGGAGCACAAAGTGTGGCACCTGGGCAGTGACCTCTCCAACTCTCCCATTTTCCTGTGCTCCTGCTGAGCCCTCACCTCCACCCAACAGGTGCTGGAACTGCTGCTGGGACGGTGAGCAACGCTCCTCTATGGGACAGAGGTGACCCAGCTCCAATTAGCTGTGGCTTAAGAATGCCACTGCTCCTGAACTGTTTGCAGCTCTGAAAAGTGGGTGCCAAAAGGACCAGACCAAGAGGGTCATTGCAGGGATCAGATGGAATGAGCCATGGAAAGTGCCTATCCAGTGTCTGCCCCTGTGGAAAGAACTAGAAGGGTGGCTCAGGTTAATTATTTCCTTCTCCCCATGAAGCAGCCCCTGTCTCAGCTCTCACCAGCCCCTGGGTTTGCTTAGCACTGTTTTTAAATTTGTAAGAGAGGTTGAGATTCCATCTAGAGTTCCCTGGGGCAGGCAGAGGGTCCCAGGTGCACTCAGGTATATGGGAAGATGCTCACTGGGGTTTATTCATTCAACAAACATACAGTGAAGTGCCTGCATTGTAGTCACTTTTATAGGCACTTAGCATAATCTATCAAACAGAGCAGATCAAATTCCTGTCATCTTGGGCTTCCCCTATAGGTGGGAGTCAGCCAGTCCCAGTAGAGGTCATAGCAGGTCTTATCCAGATCATAGATGTGCCGCCCTCCTGTAGATTTGGATGCAGCCACCCCTGTTGTGAAGGGGATGGCACACCTCAGTGATACCAAACTCAGGTCCACCTGCCCACTCCCTGGAGGAGAAAAACCCTCAGAAGTCAAATAGTTGGCATTAGAAAAGCAGATGTATTCAGCTGAAGGAGACGATAGGCTATCCCATCTGAAAGATTTAGATTTACTGAAGGGCTCCTAAATGATGGCTTGAGGAATGCAACTTGGGAGGTGAAAAGCAGGACAGAAGGGTACCTGAGCTATGAGGGGTCCGTGTGTATGAGTCGGAGGTCTCAGCAAGGCGTCTTCTGGTTCTGTTCTCACCTTCACTGTTATCTCGGGGCCCTGCAAGATTTTGATTTGCTCCAGTGTAGAATTGTCTTTTCTGCAGTCTTTTGCAGTTTCACTTCACAGAGCTCTGGTTGACTTGGCTGGTGCCCAAGGTCAGCTTCCAGTCATTTGGCCTGGATCATTTCTCAAAACTCTCCAAGTGTCAAAGAGAGAACTGTTAGCTTTGCAAAGTACTGATTAGCTTCTCAGCCTTGTTCTCCTCTTTAACAAGCAAGATAAGAAAGTCAGGGGATGGGAAGAAAGAGTGGAGAAAGGAAAAAACTGTTCTTTTTAAAAATCCCCTGCCCCCTGTAGCCCAGGGGGCTTTAGTTCCCAACATGGCTTCAGTCCTGCTCGCTCCAACACCAGGACCAGCTGGAAATGTGAGTGGACTCTGGGTCATGAGGGAGGGTCCTGGCAGTACCCTGGTCTCACACACCTTGTCATTCCCACTGGAGGGTCAAGGTCTGGGGCTCCCCCTGCAGGAGGGAAAGAGTCACAAAGCTAAGGATCAGGTCACAGACACCCTGGGGACGAGAGCCGGGCCCTGCCAGTATCAATCCCCACCCATGACTTGATGTGGGGCCCAGGACATGGTGAGCCTCCTTCTCTCACATCAGCCATGCACTTCAGCCCTTTGTGCCCAGCTGCATATGGGGCTGGGGTGGCTGCAGCCACCAGTCCTGAGAATCCCCTCAGTGGGAAGATGAGAATCTACGTAATAGGGAGCACATTGGTGCATCAACTGCATGGGGAGATGCCTCTGGGTCCCTGCGAAGGGTGGACAGGGATGGACTGTGCTTGTTTTCTTTCTCAGAGAGTGACAAGTCACCTACTGTGTGCAGCCAGTGAAGGAACAGAGCAGGCACTGGCCCTCCCTGCCCAGGAGACAGACAGGAGTGTGGCAGGCTTCCTTGATGATGGGGGAGAGGTGGCCACTGATGAAGCGCTCCCTCAGTGGAGGTTATCTGCCGGCCCCTGGCAGGTGGCCAGCCCTGCCACAGCCCGGACCGCCCACGGGCAAGG